GGAACAGAGGTTGCTGTACTCTGGTACTGCTTTAGAGTTGTGTTATTTTACCTTTCTGTCACGTCTTGGAAAAAAAAATCCAAGTATTTCAGTGCGAGGGAAATGTCTCACTAACTAATAGGGTGAGAGTGGTTTCAGGTATGGCCCTTCAAAGCAAAGGAATTTCACCGTACCCAGTGAGAAGAGGTGGTTGTGTTAGTATTTAAGTTCACTTGGTTGGTTTGGGCTCCCCCCACCCCAAATCAACACTTTTTCTCTTTCCTTTAATTTTTCCAAATAATTCATTAAAGTCAATGTTTTGTAACACTGAAGTATTACCAGCTTTAGCTTCTGCTGACTTAGTTTCCACCATAAACTAACAATCATTTAAATATGATTTAAATAATAAATGGCAAGTTGTCAAAAACATGGAGTAATAATACCCAAAATAATACCCAAAAAAGGCTTCCCCATTTCCGGAACCCGCCTCTAAGATTAGTGCATGGCTCATGGTCTTCAGACGTGTCAAACAAACCCCAAAACCCACACAGACTCTGCCCTACCTGACTGCCAGCAGCCTAATTTGTAACACGCTGCGTAACAGAAGGGAGAGAGCGAAATTATATCCCTGCTTGTCCTTTTTGAATCAAGTTCTGACTTTGCACTCAGCAAAGTGCTTGGAAAATTACAGCTACTGCTGGAGAAACATTATCTTGTTCAGCCAGCGAGTAAGAGTTGCTGAAGACAACAGATGGGATTTCATAAGGGAGATCAACAGTTGTTCCCTCCCAGCATACTCCTCAAGAAAGCTACCTCCTCTCTGAGGGATCAAAGGCAATCACCCACACAGAAATGTGGAAGTAGTTCGGCTACAAAGGCAGGGAAAAAATACAGAGATTTGTACTTGGTTTAACTGCCATCACGGGGTTGTAAAAGTTCATGATTGTATAGTGTATTATTTTTGTGGGAAAATTCTGTGCTTTAGCAGGCGTAGGGCTTCTCTTGCAGGAGGGTGGTCCTGCTCAAATTACTGTGCAGCGTCACGAACACGCTCGGGTACTGGCAGGACTGGAACCTGATTACAAACCAGCCTGGGGAGAGCCAGCGGGTGCCTGTGCCAAGCCTGTGCTTTGACATCCCGCCAGCGTTGCCTTGGCGGAGCGTAGGCAGAGGCACGCTCTGCAAACAGCTCTGCCCCAGTGACTTGGTCAAAGTCGCGCAGAAAATCCTTGGCAGAGCTGTGAATAGAAGGAGGCGATGCTGTTTCACGGAAGAGAAGAAGGAAGCCTCAGTTAGGCAGAATATCCCCTTCTCCCCTAAATCCTGAAGCCGCAGGCTTGTTTGGTGACAGGTTTTTACTTCACCAGATAAGGTCAGGCTCTTTGGTGCATGTTCCTTTTAAAATGGATCTGTCAAAAGTTCCCTGCAAACAGCAAATTGTTTCTGTGATTAATTAAGGGTACATCTGCAGTGCATCAAGGGTAACATTGTGTATACCACGGTGCATTTTTACCTTCAGCAAGCCTTAAATGTTATATACAGTTTCTGTTGCTGCAATACAAGCATAATGACTTTGTGGTTCACTCAGATTTATGCCTGTATCACACAAAGGCTCCTATGAAGAAACTTGATGTAACTCCTGTTAAGGAAGCTACTTAGAATGTTAATCAATGAGTAGAAATAATTCCTAAATTTCAGTGCTAATGTGTAACAATAATTTCATCCCCTTATTGTGGCTGACTGTATGAACCAGCCAACTGTCTGCCAATAGATAATACCTTGGTTGTCCTTCACGGTGTCAATGCTGCTCCCTTCTGGGCAGATTATATCATGCTGCTTTTAAAGGGTTTAAAAGAAACTAATGCATAAATCCTTGACTCTGAAAAGTGCATGTGCTTGGTGTTGTGATCAGCAGAAAAATATACTATTTACTTTTGATTCTTTACTTCTAAAAGTGTTGGTGGCGGTAGCAGCGTGCAGGAGGGCAGACTTAAGTGATGTTCAGACCAGTGAAGCTCACAGCCTTCCTACCTACCACCTGGCACAAAGGAAATGTACCTGATGTATCTTCCCCTCAGCCCCCTCCCTTTTGCATCTGAACCTTATCCCTGAAATTTTTACGTTATGGTGAACATGTTTGGTAGAAATTCCCATCCTGCTGCTGCCAGAGTAAGTCCTTAAAATAGTGACTTCCCTTTAAGGGTAGGCATTTAGATGTGTTTCCTGCAAAGGCAGATGAAGACAGCAGACAAGTGTTTCACTGGCTGAGGCATTCAAAGCTCCGCCTGTCTTATACCCTGTATTTAACCGAGGAAGGCTTCCCTGCTTGTGTTTGCAAAGCAGTTGTTGTTAAATAACAATACCAGCAAAATTTTTAGCCTTATCAGGAATTAGTCTGGGGTGGCTTTACACTTCCCAGAGCTGTGAAATGTGCACTACACCACGTGTGCTTGGTGTATCAACAGCGCTGAAACGTGGTCCAGTTCTTCACATACCACCCGCAAGCCTGTTGTTACTTTTAGGCTGGAACTGGGGAAGGAGCATCAGGAGAAAGCCTTTGATAATATATGTGCCTGAAAGTATATCCTTGGCTGCCTGTAGGAGCAATAAGTGTTCTTTATATGTCAGAGAATAGAATATTCTATATGATATTTTGTATATCATAAACGTGTCAGTTTTCTTGCCCAAGGCACTTTTCACTGGCTGCAGTGAGGTCAATGAAAATAAATTGTTAGGGAGAAGCAAAGCACAATAGGACCAAGAAAGGGATAAGGTGTGTGTGGATACAGAAGGTGTGTGGATATAGCGTGCCTACTATTTCTAAGACG